CCTATAATAATTCGTAACCCTATAATAATTTGTAATCTTGTAATAATTCGTAACCTCGTAATAATTCGTAACCCTCCGTAATAATTCGTAACCTCGTAATAATTCGTAACCCCCCGTAATAATTCGTAACCCCGTAATAATTCGTAACCCTATAATAATTCGTAACCCTATAATAATTCGCAACCCCCTATAATAATTTATAACCTCGTAATAATTCGTAACCTTATAATAATTCGTAATTCTATAATAATTCGTAATCTCGTAATAATTCGTAATCTCGTAATAATTCGTAACCCTATAATAATTCGTAACCTCGTAATAATTCGTAATTCCGTAATAATTTATAATCTCGTAATAATTTATAACCCTATATTAATTCGTAACCCCGTAATAATTCGTAACCTTCCGTAATAATTCGTAACTCTATAATAATTTATAACTCCGTAATAATTCGTAATCCCGTAATAATTCGTAACTCTCCGTAATAATTCGTAACCTTATAATAATTCGTAATCTCGTAATAATTCGTAACCCTATAATAATTCGTAACCTTATAATAATTTGTAACGCTATAATAATTCGTAACCTTATAGCCTCGTAATAATTCGTAAACCCGTAATAATTCGTAATCTAGACTAATAATACTATACGCTATAATCTTTATAGAGCGCTACCTTCGAGTATAGTTAGCCTTATCTTAGTCGAGAACTACCGTAGGTAGAGAATTCTACTATAACCCTATATCGTAGATAAACCGATACTAATATAGTAAGTTAAGTAGTACGTAGTAGTCGATAAAGCTATAGAGAATTACGTAGTTTAGATAGACTATTAAGTTATAAGAATTACGAAGTTATAAAAGATTAATCGACTTCGTTAGATATAAGTATAGAAAATATCTACGTAGTCGTTAACCTTTACTAACTTTATAATTCGCTAAAATAATAAAGACTATTAAATAATTATTTATATATATAATATATACCTAGTAAAGTAGCTTTTTATATAGCGGTATAACTAGAATATAGACTCCCCTATTAAGCTAATACCTAAATTTATATACCTAGATATATCTCGTATAAGAAGTATATATATCTAGTAAAAATTATTATATATCTATAAAGAGTACTATAGTACCTAAAATTATTATATTCCTAGGTAAAAGTAGCTCTATCTACGTACGCCTCTAAATATAGAGTTAGAATTATTACGAATCTAACTCGAATATAGAGAATAAAATACGTTAAATCTAAAGCGTACTTAAATTATTACGCCTTAATTCCCTATCGATAGTATATCTAATTTTAAGCGTTAAGTAGTATACTATATTATAGAATAGAATCGTTATATTACTATAAAATAAATAACTAATCGTAGTAGAATTAGTATACTATACCCTAATACTTATAGTATTAATAGGAAATAATACTTCGAGTCGATACTAGTATCTCGTTAAAGATATATAGTAATTATAGTTAAGATTACTTACGCTACTAAATATAATTTAAATATTTCTTACTTCTTCTATCGATTATAAATATAGAAATTATAATTTCGACGTAGAGAATATACCTATAAATATATATAAAGACTTCTAATATTAATAATTATTTAATTAGGACTCTTATCTAACTCTTTAGTTATAAAAGACGTTCGTACTCTATAATAAGTTCGTAGTAGTAGCTATTTATTACGAGTATTCGGTTCGAGATTAATATTAGCGAGTTCTATAGCGTACTCTAGTAAACTACTATATATTAGGTATATACGACTAAGGATCCTACTAGTACTTAAACTATAGTATAGTAACTACGTAGGTTATTATCTCGATAGAAGATTATTATAGTTATTATTATAAGCCGTTATTTATTATTATAATTTTATTACTATAGAAGACTCTAT